GATATTTCCAAATTGACAATCATAGGGTTGTGTCAACAATTTACACCGAAATGTCAGTATGCATATTCTCCATACTGTTCTTTATACATTTTCTGGAGCAGTCACAAGGATAATTTGTTTTACAATCAAGAGCATAAGTGTGTGATCATTTCCTTTATTCTCATTACCCGAATGTGTGATTCAGGGGTGATATTGTAAGGAGAAATCAGATATTGTTCACTCTTAGGGGTTGAAGGGTCAAGTGATAATGTTGAGTGGCAGTCTCATTTTAAATTGGCTCAACAACATGCATTTAGTGGTCCACGAGATGATGTCTACTTTCATAAGTGTTTGCTTTCATCTTTTAACCCTTTAATTCCCATGAGTGACCAAGATAGAATTTCTCCTTACAATATCAATACAATATCATGTAGACAAATGATAAGAATAAAGATAATATCAATTAGGGGATTATAAGTTGATCTAATACTAGATTCTCTAAACTAACATCACAAAAACTGAATAGCAGACTGTAAGGAGAATCACTGATAAGATCTTGGGAGTTAAAGGGTCAAGATCTGTTATTTGTTTTTGTTGATTTGTGACACCTTCCCTTACCTTCCTGTCTTTTTGACTGGTTCCATAAGATACCTTTATTCTCCTCCTTGACTATTCAACTGTCAAAACTTCTGCTTTAGGTGTCAGAGAAAAGTTTTCGCCGTCTCACTCCTGATCAGTCTGTTGGCCTCAAGTACGCTGGTATGGTGATAACACTCCATAAAGTTGTTAAGGTATGGCTGGTTCACCTTCATACCTACAGTGTCACTATTTCTTCTTAGAGTGAGGTTCACTGGGTTTTATTCCATAGTACCTCAATGCAAATCTGTTTTCTAGTTTGTAAGCTGTTTTATACATTCTTTAATGAATGTCTACAATACAGCAATGCCAAGCTGTAGCAGTTATATATTTGTGTTCATGTTTTGTGGATATCATGCTCTATGATCATGTTTACCCTTTCAATCCAAAATGTTAAATGTCAATTCTCGCCATTGTCTGGCACACATTTTGTGTTGTTTTAGCATGGAGAAATTAGTGTTTAATCAGATACTCTTCCTAAGCTGTGATTTTCTTCCTAGTCATTAACTTTCTTATTGAAACGGTGTTGAGATATTATAACTTCTCTTTGTTCACTCTTGTTCTCCTTTTCTGTGTTAGGATTCCAGTGGGAAAGTGACAGAGTTGTTAGTGAATTGTGAGTCAACAGAAACTGCACCAAAACCAAAGGCTTTCATTCACTGGGTATCTTCACCTCTGAAATGTGAAGTCAGACTTTATGAAAGACTGTAAGTATTTTGAATTTTTATTATCTGGAGAGACCAGTGCTTTCACACAAAGGACCACTTTTCATATGTGACTTTTCAAACCATGCAGGCAATTTTCAAATTTAACAGGCGGTACAAAAGACACTCTTTTTCTCTGGGTCTTTTTTCCAATGTAATTGGTTGAAATTAACCAAACATGTAGTAATAACGGATTGCAGGATTTAATTTCAGTGCTCTGAGCTGCAACCATTTTGGTTATCATGGGGAGTAGAAAAAGATTTTGGAAACAAAATTTGTCGCCAATCTAATGACTTGCTGCTGTGTTCAGCAGTTATGTGGCAGGCTACAACATTGGTTTCAAATACTGTGTATGGTGTTAAGTTTAAGTGACACAAACTTTGCATAAAATATTGTCTTAGTGCAATATGTGACAAAATTTCTTCTTTTTTTACTCTCTCCTGGCAACTTAAGTTTTTCATTCCTGTGGACCACTTCATGTCTTCAGATGGCCAAGCGGTGTCTGAAAAATATGATCTTGGAACTCAGAATTTATTCAAGTCATACTTGACTGAATGAAATTGTTTGATTGTAAATTAACAATTTTGTGATAATTGCATTGAAACAGATTCAAACACAAGAATCCAGAAGACCCAGCAGAAGTACCAGGTGGTTTCATAACAGATTGCAACAAGGTATGATTTCTTACTTTTTAACCCTTTACAACCAAACATCAGTGTGCATATTCTCCATACTGTTCTCTGTACATTTCCTTAGGCATTGACAAGGTGAATTTCTTCAATAACTAAGAGCTTCTTTAGTTGTGATCATTTCTTTTATTCTCATGACCTTAATGTGAGATGCAAGATTGATATTGTAAGGAGAAATTAGATGCTAGTCACTCTTCATGTGTGATCAATTGGCTGATGGGAAAATTAAACCCTATGTGAGTGTCGATAGACTTCTATTTTCCTTTAAAAACACATTGCATCAAAAAAACTTATGGCTCCCTTTCACCCAACCCCTTCCTGCTTGATTTGGCAAGGCACTGAGACATTCATTGGACTTTTTCACATCCCCTCTCCCTCCCCTCTCCCCACAAACACCTCCTCTTCCTTAGTAATACACTAACATGCTTTGTATTTTTTCCCAAAAGGATTCTCTTACTGTAATCCCTGATGCTCTTGTGGAACAAACTGTCAAACAGGCAACTGTCTATGACAAATTCCAGTTTGAAAGGATTGGTTTCTTTAGTGTTGATCCTGACAGCAGTAAAGACAAGGTGAGCACCCCCCTTTCATTGCGCACAGTAGTTGAAGCCCTATGCCATACTGTTAACAACTGAGCAAATATATCTTTCTAGATGTTTTTAGTGTGTAGTATCACTGAGTACTTTTACAAGTTGTGCCATATTTTGATGAGCCTGTAAGGCTAGTCAAAAGACAATCAACGACTGGTTAGCGAGCAGGACAGTGAAACCCCAAACAAAGTCAGTATAGCAGAATATTATGCAATCCTCAACTCATCAGAGCCCAAGAACTGATTTGATTAACAGCTTACTTCAAATGATAATTTTGCTAGATGATGCAATTTTTTTTTGTCTTATGTTTCAGCTGGTGTTCAACAGAACAATCTCTTTGAAAGAAGATCCTGGCAAACTGTAGTTGGAAAACAGAATATACTTCTATCAATGAATACTATTCAAATAATATAGTGCCAAGACTTTCTAGTGACCAGTACCCAGCCATAGCGATTCAAATTCCCTCAGAGTACCTCTCTACAACCACATTCATTTATCATTATTCTAAACCCTTTAGTCCCTAAGAGTGACTAGCATCTAAATTCTCCTTACAATATCACCCCTGAATCAAACATGAAAGTTATGAGAATAGAGGAGATGATCACCAACTAAAGCAGCTCTTGATTGTTACACAAATTCTCCTTGTCAGCCTCTTTGGAAATGTATAGAGAACAGTATGGAGAATATGCATACTGATATTAGGATGTAAATGGTTAATTTAGTGCATGTCTCAGGCAGATTACTTGGTTTTGAACTTTTGGAACTAGGATAAAATCTAAAATAAAATAAATTGTTGGAGACTTAACAATCCAAATTCTACTATGTCAGAGATTTGAAATTCTGAATGTGTACCTTGGATATGGCTGGAATATTTCCTTCACTCCCAGAGGGACCTTCTTTTAACATAGCTTTTGTAAGCAATAGATCACCCTTTTTATTGGTTTACCAGAATAATAACCTATGCAGGATGTTGGGAGAACTTAAAAAAAAAGGTTGGAAAACATGTCTTGAGTGTCCAGCTCATGATTTATAAACTTTTACCAACTTCCCAAGTTAGTCATCACGCTGGTGAAATGGTACAAAATTGTGGTCTATTATTAGCGGTGATTGCTTTATTCATAAAATAAACTTGAAGGGTCGCTTAGTTGCTTAAGGTCTAACCCAAACCACGGTTTTACTCAACCAGTGGGCCTTAGGTTTTCTCTATAATGTTAAATAAATGCCCTTCCACTGTTAGCTTTTGACTCTTTTGACAATGTTCACAAAAGTAATTGTTCAGATGAAAGTTTCAGCTTGATTGAGGATTGTTTAGGATGCAGTTTTGTTGAACAACCATTTTACTTTGTTTAAATAATTAGATAAAATGTCTCAATTCTCTATTATGGGCTTATCGCTGCAATAATTGATAGATCTTTGACCAATTAAGGCTCTTGTAGTATGTCAGCTATTGTTTAAAAAATCTCGACATAAAAAAGGCATAACATGTCTTTGAGTACTAGTAAATGTTGCAGTAACATATAGCTATATAGTTTACTTTATATCATGGCCTCCTAGTGGACTTCTCAACTGAGTTACACAATGTGACTTTCTCAAACCTTTGACACTAAGTATCAGTTTTTCTGTTTTATGTAGTCTCACAAAATGCCTTTCTTCTGAGTTTCCTTTAGTTAGTAACATTAATGATATTAATATTTACTATTCCTTTTAGTACCTATTTCAAAGAGTTTTGTGCTTTCTGAAGCAAACAATAAAGGTCACTCACAATATTTTATACTTTGGATACTTAGAAAAACAACATTCATGTTTTTATAAAAGCAACCTGGCAACTATTTTGTTAGATTTCCCAGTAACAATTAAAATGGAAATTCTGTTAAAATCTCCTGAACATCATACCTGTGAGGAATACCTGGCAGGTTGTTTTGCTAGATTTGCCAAGTTCTTGATGCAAGCAGCAATTGTGCTGTGTTTTGAATTGAAGTGGAGTAGATTAATTATGTGGGCCACTATTAAACAGTGCCAGACTGTAGTTTATTGCCCTCTCAACTTGGCACAAGGTTTCAAAATGTACTTTTATTCACAAGGAATAGGACAGACTGTTTAATGTCTGATCACACAGGCTTCCAGCTTGTGTCTGTGTTCTCCTTTTCAGGCAGTAACCAGTAAAATTTACTTTCAGAGGTACCCCAGGGTACCACTTAAATTTCCTTTGAATTATTGAATATTCAACTGGTAAAAGGATTGCAAAACCAATTTGAAAACATCTTTTACCTGTCAAGCCTAACAGATAGGAAAATGCTGTGTATGTGTCTAAGAGTTCCCTAGGACATTCCTGCTGTTATCTTTTCCCAGGCTTTCCTCAGGAAATGTCCAAAAATTTGAAAGGAATAAAAGTTGTTAAAGCCCAGTTATTCTCATATACATACAGTTGCACCTAAAAATTGGTTGTAACCCCATAAAACAGAAAAAAAAAACTATCGTCAACAAATTATTATGTGTACAAAACGGGCAAAACTTTGATTTATTAAACAGCAAATATTAGTTAAAAACCTCACATTCCTTGGTGCTGCACGTGACTAATTCGCTCCTTAAAAAAAAAACCTTCATCAACATGACAAAAGTTGGCAAGGATCTAAATCGCTCAAAGAAAGCTCGCCACGAAAAAAAATTATACAAACTCTAAAAATATCCCGCACCTTTACAAAAAATTTCCTGGTTGACAATAATTAAGTCAATTACAGTACGGTTGCTAATAACTAAATTAGCGCTAGCGTTTTAGTGTGACAAAGACCGAAGAGAATTTTGTTATTGACATCATCACTCATCACACTGAGCGTTTTACAAAAGTATTTTCATTATCCAAGGTAAAGATCAAAGTATTAGCTCTGTCACAAATGTTATTTGATAATAAAGACCTCCGAGCAAACATGTGTTAATCAAAAACTTAATTTCTTTTCAGTCATTGTACAGAATTCCATTTTGACGGTAAAACGTGTCCTTGATGACTCGAGTACGACCGCACGATGGGTTTGTGGTCTTCATACAGTCGTTTAATCTCCAACCGATCTCCCAAGAGCTCGTGATGGGGAATTCGTATTTATGCTCGGGAGCCTTTAGCTTTCTCTTCTGTAAATATGCATAGCGACCGCCTCCAAGTGCGCTGAAACCGTCGTACAACAATTCCCGTGTCTTGCCTGAAACCGGACGCATTTCAACAAGAAGGGACTTTGGATCAGCCTTAGCCTTCTCCTCAAGCTGTTTTTTAGTAGTACTCTCCTTCTTCTCCTTTTCCTTCTCTTCCATTTCTTGCTTCAACCCCTGCAAAGCGTTGATTTTAAGTCCTTCTTTTCGAGGTTTCGCAGCCATGGCGGCTACGTCGCGCGCAAATTCTTTGGAATATCTTGAATGCCAGTTCAAGCGGACATATGCTTCCTTGTCAATGGATTCCTTCCAAAAGTTTTGACGCTGCGTATCCATATTTAATTCCCGCACCATCTTGACAGATTTCTTGAGCTTTAGAGTTTGCAAAAGTCGCCAGCAGTGTGTTAAGTTTGTTTGAAGTCTTAATAGCAATGTTTGTCCTACGCTCCTGCGGAATGCTACAATCAGTTGCCATGGACAACTGTCTTAAGACGTCTGGTTTATTTAAGGACACTCTGTGTAAAATGTCATAACAGGTTAGCTAAGAATAGTGTAAACCGCAGCTTCTCGGGGGAAGTCGTAATTTATTAATTATTTCTCTGATTCTAAATGAAAAAAAAATGAAAAGTCGTTTTTCGCCCTGGAACAGAAATCGTTTATTAAGGAATTGTTCATGGAAAAAATGTTGATTGCCAGTCAGCCGAAAAATATTATTCTTGTTTGTTCACTTGCCTTTTTTTTTAACACCAGTAAGCCTTTTAAAAAAGAGAAAATAAAACAAAGGGAATTGCATTGAGTTTATCTAACTCTTCCTTCAGGTAAGAAATGTTACTGAAATCGGAGTTTGTGCCGTATCGATCAACCCGTATTGTCCCGCACCTGCGGGTGTGATCGCGGGTGTGATCCCGTGTGTGAAGTTCCCTGTGTGACCTCTGACGTCATAAGGTAAATACTATGGCAGCCATAGCTACATGTATATGCCGCATTCTTCATTCGCTGGAGAGTTTTGTTTCTTTGTAAAGATATTTGTCATCAAATATGCCGGAGAGGAAGAAAATAATTTCAACGATGATTAACTATTATGGCTAGAGTTGTTTAAAGATCAGTGTTCGAACAGAGAACACCTCAGAAATTGGCTTCGTAGTCTTTGAGTTAGCTTATAGTTAAGTCTACAATCAGCTAACCTGTGATTACTCCATCTTATCGACCAAAAATGGGACTTATTGATATGGAATTGATGTTTGATTTACTGGATACGGACATGAGGGGTTATCTGACCTCAAATCAGCTCCAAGATTTTCACGAATCGCTGTATTTCTCTCCGATCGATCCTCGACAAATCGAAGCTGCCATAAGAACAGTTTGTGGCAGTTCTTCTCGCGGACTTTGTCCACGAGAAAAATTTATGGATGTGTTAGACGACCTTGACCGGAGGAAAAGTCTCGAAGAAAAAATTTCTTGGGATTTTAAATCACTTGATATCGAAGGAAAAGGAAGAATTTCTCTCAAAACCGCGCTGTTGCTTTTCAAAGCTGTCCACAATGAATTGTTTTCAATGAAGACCTGGCGATCATTTGTTTCTCAGCGGGAATATCCCGATGCAGATGTATGTTTTGATGAGATCAAGATGTTCTTGTGTAACTTGGTTGATGGTGGTCCTTGTGAGAAAGAAGAGTTTAACGAGGAGGAGAGGGATGTTGGTTTGCGGTGTGTTGAAAATGAGTACAGGAATCTGAAGGAACTAGAAAAGTTTCAGGTAAGTTCTGAAGGCATTAAAAGCTGTCTGGCAACAATTAGTAAGACTTGATTTCAGTATGATGGCCTGATTCGTCACGAGCATCCCAATTTTAGCATTTGGAATGATTCAGGGGATCATATAGAAAAGTGTGGTTAGCCTGATTTTCTGAGTTCTTTGAGATGATTTGTAATGGTTTCGTGTTACAGTTATCATCCAGACCCCCCTGAACATTATTTGGGATAATTAGGCTGATTTCGAGAGCAGGCTTAGCTCCATTCTTAACGCTTAAATATCAGTATGCACATTCTCAACACTGACCTCTTATCATTGTCTGTGGTACTGAATCTAAAGGTTGCTTTTAATGGTCTTTGTGGCTCAGTTAGCTTGTCTATATCTCGCACAAAAAAAACTTTCTTTGTGATAACTTGGCAAGTGAGCTTACCCTTTAGCTGGGATCTAATTATTTTGAAGTTAGGATCTCAGCCTAAGAGGATTTAAGTTCTCCTATAAACATTGTTTGGGCTGGCCTGGTAGTGTTGTGACGCAGTGGTCAAATGTCTGTGTATTTTCAAATGTTACAGTGAATAGGTGGCATGATTCCAGGTTTTTTGAACCAAGTTTTCTTACACAAATTACAATTAACCATGCAAGCCAGAGAGTCATGGTGTTTTAAAAGAGAATAACTTTTTTAAGAGCTCAAAACAGAGTTGTAAAATAACAGGATACCCAAACTTGACCAAGTTTTCCTTTTCCTTGAGTTTGCTTTTTTTCGACAGATTGATACAAAGGTTTCAATTTTCTTTGAATTTGCTTATTTTGCAAGACAGCAACTGTTTATTAGGTTTTCCTTTGAAATTTACAATGGAAATTAAGGCAAACCTGCCAAAATTGATCCTTTTGGGCATGATGGATGTTTGACAGCTGTATTAGGTGTAGTATGCTTGACCAAGAGTTGGTATGAGGAATCAGACCTCAGACAGGAGGGGATAAGGTAACAAATCCAATCCTACCAATGCATCAGCCAAAGTGTTGACCAACATGTTGGACAACACACTACTGATGCTAAGCACTGAGAAGCACTGTGGCTTGATCCTCCTTCAATAGTTTTAACTGGATGTAAAAAAAGTCAGAGATGCACTGCTGACACATCACCAACACACGATTGAGGCTTGTCATTTATTGAAAGGGAGACTAGTTGGCAACAGTCGGCTGACAGTGAACAGACTATGGTCTGATGCGTTGACCAGTGTATCAGCTGACATATTTTTTGGATCAGATTTGTTACCGTAGCCAATCATATGATTCTGTACTCCAGTGCTCCACTATGGAGCCACTGACACTGACTCTACAGTAAGGTAGGCTATTACTAGGTGTGTATGTGATATATGTCGTGCTAAATTTGTTTTAAGGAGGATGAGGCATCCCTAGCTGCTGAAGAGAGGGAGAGAATGCACCAGGCCAACAAACTGAAACAAGGAGCTGAACGACGAACCAAGCGACTGGATCATGAGGGTGTTGTGGCCCTGCTGCATGAGGATGAAGAGTGGGATGAGAAAGCTGCGAAGAAAGCAAGACAGAAAGTCACAGCTACAGATTTGATACAAGCTCTACGAACAAAGTAAGATTCTTGAGACCTAACAAGAAGTTAAACTATTCTTTAAGGCTGTTAATAAGGCAAGAAAAGTTTGAAAGTGGAAAGCAAATACATGTAAGATATAGAATAAGAGAGATGGTGAGTTCTGAGCTGGGTAAAGAAATAAAGAAAGTTGTTTTTTTGTCTTGTTGAAAAACTTCTGAGTCCCCACGAGGAATCAAACCTCAGACCTTTGGATTCCACTCTCTGATGCTCTACCACTAAGCCAAAGGGACTCTGTGATGAGCAAGGCCTACCATGAAGTTCATATGCGATAAGCATCCTGCATACTGCTAGGATCAGTGATGTCAATAGTGTTGCTCACCATTGAGTCTCTGTAGCTCAGTGGTAGAGCGTCAAAGCATGGAATCCGAGTGTCTGAGGTTCAATCCCTCATACAGACTCGGAATATTTTCTTTGTCCTATGCTCATAACAAGACAAAAAACATCTTTCTGTACATGTAAGAAATAATAGGCAACCAGATTGTTTAGGGGGCCATGTTGTTTGGTCAGATTACAAGCAAGACTTAACCTTTTCAGTTAAAATGTCCAAGGCATTCCTCAAAAGTTGCTCAAATTGTAAAGTCAATTTTGAATGTAAGTTGATTTACACATCTATACCTATTACAGGTAAATTAAAAAATGGCTGGGGGTTTATGTAGCTTGTATTTGTTATATCTGTGTTTCTTGCATGATTTTTTTGAACAATAATCTATTTATCCATTACGTTGTGTTCCATTCTCTTCTAATAAAATAACCATTGACCCCTGATTTTTTCCTCCCTTGATGATGTAGAGGATCTGAAAAATCTCCAAAACTATTTTTAATTTTCAAAGTAGCCTAAGGCTTCACTGAAAACCTCTAAATCATTGACATGTGCCTTTTGTGTATGGAAATCACCTTATTACCAAGAGTAACAACATGTACCTTCTGTTACCCAGTCTCTTCCTGAAAATAAAAAAAGGCAAGCAGTCCATACGACAACAAAAACTTTCATAGGAACCCTGATAGCAAGTAATCCCAGAATTCTATAGCAGGAGCTGTATATAGTGTATCTGTAGTAACAATACGCGCTTCTGATTGGCGGAATACGAGTGCATTGTCATGTAACACGAGTGCAAAGTTGGAACACGAGTGCAAAATTGTAACACGGGTGCAGATTGAAAATTTTTCAAAGACTACAAATTTCACTTGCCCTACGGGCTCGTGAAATTTCGTTGTCTTTGAAAATTAACTCGTGTTTATTAACACAAAATTGTAAGAGAAATTATGTTAATTACCAATACAAACATATTTGAGATCCTAAACGTTTCATGATGTCGATTGTTATTCTGCAGGTATGAGATCTTGCGTGACAAACTCCTTTTGGAGATGCTGAGACATCACATTGGTGAAGGAATGTGGACAGTGTTATCTGAAGATGAGCAGCACGAACGCCTCATGCAGTTGAAAATGCGTGTTCAGCGTCTACGTAAAGACAGCAAATTAGACGGCGCCAATTCCCTGCCTGGTGCTGGTCTCACATTCTTCTTCAATTTGTCGGCATTGATGGGTTTCAGTAGAATAGGAGATGAAATTCAGCAGCAAAAAGAAGCTGAGAAAATCAAAGAACTGGAGAAGGAAGGTGAAGATTTTCGATAAGCTTGTTTACCTCCGTGCTGCAGTAGATGTTTTATATACAATCAAATTTTGTACGTGCAATTTTTAGGCCGTGAAACTCCCAGAAGTCATTTCAGTCGGTAGCGAAACGACTTGTGATTTGTAGCAAAACGACCATAAATTTGCAGCGAAATGATTTCGATTTGCAGTGAAACAACTGGTCACCCAGAAGTCACGTATTTCTTTTAGCACTGTAGATACATTTTTCAAGCAATCTGGTGATTAAAATAGGTAAACCGGCCTTTCAGCCAAGTGTTACCTAAATACATAACCAAATTCTCGGAACTAATTTGCAGAGAAAAATATAGTATCTCGAAGGGAGAATTTATAATTTCATCGTGTTGCTGATAGGTAAACGCTGAAGAAGTCCCACTTAGAGTATTTTAAAAGCCTTTGAACTCTAACATCAGTGTGTGTTTTCTCCACACTGTTCTTTATAAGTTTCTTTAGGTAATGACAAGGAGAATATGTGTAACAATCAAGAAAGTATTGAGCTGGCGACTGATATTGATCCGTCGCGGATCAATATCAGTATATTGATCCGTCGCACCAAGGGGTTGAAGTATTTAAAAATTGTTTTAATGTTGCAACTGTCACAGGGAAAAGCAACAAGGAGATAGAGGAAGAAATGCTCAGGTCTCGTGAAAAAGCTCTACAAGGACACGCCAAGAGTGAGCAACTTCTGATAGATCTGGAGAAGCGTTATCGCCAGGATAAAGACGCCATAACTGCCAAATTGAAAGGCGCTGGTACAAATACCATGACAGCGGAGCAGAAGCTGACTGAGTATGGACTCATTCTAAGAGAGCAGTTACGTGCCCGAGAAGAAGGGAAGTTTGAGAGTGCTGGTTTAGCTGTGGGAATTGCTGAACGCGTGAAAGAGCAGGTGCAAAGGTACATGATTTTCATTTTGTATTTTGTATTGTCGTATATGTGTGCTTTGCGAGGGACAGAGAATTGGACAGACAGAAAAACGATCGATTGGGGAGGTCAACTGACAGAAAATGAAAGGAATAGAGGAGAGAAGTGATTTGCGAAGAGATAGAAGGATGGATTAATAATGAGAACTCAAAGTTTAAAACAAGCAAACTGCTGAAAGCGCGGGAAAACGTGGATAATCAAGACGCGATTGGTATTTTCGCATCTGATTGGTTGAGACGGGGCGTAAGTTTTCTAGACCAATCACAATGAAGGAAAGCAAAACCAATGAAATCTTCCATTACTTTTGACTCTCCATTGAAAATTTCTCTTTTTTTTTACTTTTACCTAATAAACCAGACCAAAAGATGACCGCAAACGACAGGAACAGCTTGGCAAAGAGCGCCTTACACAGCGGAAGGGCAGGAAGCTGCCAAGAAACTGGAAGGGAGGGGAACTGGACTTCAGTACACCAGGAGAGGCGGGTTTAGTTGATGTGTTGGAGGACACTGTCAGAGCATTGGAGAGGAAACACGCCATGGAAAGAGAGCTGCTTATTTACTTATTACAAGGCCGGGAAAGTGTACAGGCCCGCAGTGCAGCTAAGAAACTATCTCCAGGTTAGTGGTGGAGGACAAAGTTAAGGAAGACAGATTTGTAAATGCGTTCAGTTTATGTTGGGAGAATACGTCGTAATGGATTAAAAGATTAGATAATAAAGCGGATTTACAATATTAAATGCCGCGATATTTATTAGACTCTAAGCTTTACCGCTGATTGAGTTTCGACAATGCTAAGGCAGTACATGTAGTTCACTGAAAAAATTGTCTAACAGAAGTGAACAGAATTTCCTAAATTTCTCGCGGCCGTCCTGCCTTATTGTAGAGGCATTCATTTGAAGAGCGTTTACACCTTTTTCAATATTTTTCGAAGCGGTGGATCCAGGGAGAGGGTCTGGGAGGTCCGAACCACCCCAATG